AGCCTGGGATTTAATGAACAAAGTATTTTGTGTGCGTATGTATGTATGTATGTATGTAGGTAGGTAGGTAGGTAGGTAGGTAGACAGACAGACATATATAGATTTATTTCTACTTTGAGCATTTAAAACTTCCAGGAATATCATATTCTAGACATTGTAGGAGACAAAATGCTAGCTTTGATGGACAATAATTTTTAAGGCTGTAATTTGTAAATCAACTGGGTAGATAGTTGTTGTGTTAGCAAGAAACGTTTTAGCACACATTTTATTCTTAGAAAATGTGCAGGTGATTTAACAGTAAAAATCTCTCCTAAAAATTAGGCAAATTAATGATATGGGGCAATCAGCACTTTGTAGCAACTGTGCAAGGAATACTTGTGGATCAGAATGGTGGTATGCAAATCCAACCTTCCAAGCTATATACATTCTGTTGTATACCTTGATGGTTGTGTATCAAAAAGTCTGGAAAACACAGGGCCACCAATTAAAGGTATACAATTTATATGCCCTTAAGGTAGGCTTAAGGACTCAATGAACTGTGACTTAATAGGATCTACCGTAAGGATCGTGCCCCCGCCCCCAGGCCCAGCATTTGTAGCCTATACATAATCTTGAAAAATGCTTTGATTGTTCAGGAGATAAACTTTGCTAATGACATCTGCAGTAGGGATGTACATCCTTTGAAAAGGATTTGGAAAAAGGGTTTTGGATCTCATCCAAGCACAGCACCTCCCTGTTACTAATTTAAGCAACCATAACTTTTTTGAGGCTTCTACATGAACCTGAACAAAGGAATGGCTACTTTAAGAATCACTTTAATATTCCAAATCATTTTAAAATCATGTTCAGCCCTAATCTGAATGATCTAATTATGGGAAGGAGGAGTAAAACACTGCAGTTGAGACCTAGTTTACAGAAACACCATAAAACAGAGGAATTATATACAATAGTGTTCCAGGCTAGCTTTACTTTGATGACAAGGATTAGAATGCATTGGACTGAATTGTTCTTGGGACCACAGTCCCATGGCCATGATGATGGGGCTGTTTGAAGTTAGAATTCAGCAACTCATCTGTAGGACCATGGGTTCACCCCTCCTGCATCCAAGGTCAACTCAAGGATATGACCTATGCCCACCCATCCTAGTTAATGGTATCTCACATTCTTGTCGTAGTTTTCCTCTGCACAGTCCTTGAGGTAGAAAACCAATTCTTTTTTAAACTGCATATGCACTTTTAATGAATAAAGATGTTGCTATAAACATGTATTTGTATTTTGATTAAAATTCTGTGAATAATGGTGGTGAATGTATGCATATAGCATTATTACAACAATGCTAAGGTAGAGTGCAGACACTGCTAATTGTGAAAGTAAAAGATTGTTTGGAAGACAAGCCAGAGGTGAGAGAAGAGCGAAAACATAGCTTTCCATAAGTTCAGTTTATTTACTTTTTCAATTGCCCCTTCAAATAAGATGGAAGTTGGAGTAAATGTACTCTATATGGTGCAGTATAAATCTGTATAATTTATAAGGAGCAAAGAATTCCGTTCTCTTTGTCATAATGCTGAGATTTCTTTTTGAAAGAGTCTAGCTTGGTCTTGGGTAACACACCATGCATAGTTGAATTTTTTTTTTCCTATCCTGGTTCCAGAGGTGTGAGGACAGAAAGCAGAGAAACCAGTCACTGATCAAAGGTACTGAGGACAGCAGGAAGTGTCTGGAAATGGTAAGTTAAGTTGATAAAGTACGGGATGTCATCTGGCAACACTCAGTACTCTACACACAAACATTTATTATTGGGCATTGCCAGATCATGCATGGAAATGGGAACTCTGTGTGTGTGCCTGTGTGTGTATTTCCAACTTCCACGTATGATGGTATTTAGTACACAGAGATATTTATTTATTTATTTATTTATTTATTTATTTATTTATTTGACTAGTATGGCTGCCCATCAAAAACACAACTCTAGGTGGCTCACAACAGTTATATAAAACCAAACATCATAAAACAATACAAGCAAAAAACAAGAACAGAAACAAAAACCTGGCACCATAACCAATCTTCTTCAATGAAGCCAACACCACTAACTTCCAGCTCTGACTTCACCCAATCCCAGCACTTAAGGGAAGAACCAGTTCTTCAAGTTCTTCTAGAAGGCAAGCTGGGTGGGGGTCTGCCAGATCTCTGGGGGAAGGGTATTCCACAGGGCAGGGGCTGCCACGGAAAAGGAATGCTTCCTAGGTCCCACTAGATGGCAACATTTAAGGGAAGGGACCTGGAGCATGCCTACTCTATCCGATCTGGTGGAATGGCAGATACCCTCAGGGAAAGATGGTCTTGCAGGCCCTGGATTGTCTTTTCGACTTTGCAAAGCCTTAGGTTGAGCTTGTAGTCCACTTCCAAGATATTTTATTCACTTCCTTCTACTCTCTTAAGTAACTTTGAAGAGTAGCCAAAATACTGAAATCTGAATTGTAAGAATTTCTTGCAAGTTAAATGTTCTTGTGGAAAACTCTTATCACAATTGTAACAACCAGTTTTTGGTCTTAAGCTCTGTAGGTTATTGTTTAAATCAAAACAGACAGAAATAAATATATGTTTACATTGTTACAGTATACAGAAAAATATCCCATTCCTCATTAGTTTTTGCATGAGTAATTTACTAATTTAATCAAGTGGATTCAGATGCTTCTGCAAGGCGGGGGGGGGGATCCAACTGGTGGGATATTTTGAAGCCCTGCTCCTTTGTACATGCATATGATATCAACATGCATAGAAAGAGCCAGGGCTTCAAGCCATGGTTGCCCCCTTTCACTGCAGACACCTCTGAGTGGCTTGGTTCTGTATTGGACAAGACATCCTTGCATGATTTGTCCAAATATCCATGTAACCTAGCATTAACAAATTTAGCTGTTTTGGGAGAAAGATGTTTGACGACAGTTGTTTGTGCTCTGATCACCCTATACCTGAATTACTGCAGTGTGCTCTCCTTGGGGCTGCCCTTGAAGACTATTCAAAAAACTGTAATTATTGCAGAATGCAACTACATACTTGCTGATGAGTGAGAACTGTTTCAGCAAAACAACTCTTGTTTTAAGGATACTGCATTATTTGCCAGGCTATTTCAGAGTACAATTGAATGTGTTGGTGATGATTCTGGAGCCCTTCTTATCTAGGGGACATAGTGCTCTGAATAGTCTGCCAGTTGTGGGGGTTCAGTTCCAGGAAGGTATGCTGAGGAGTTTTTCCGCCTGGAAGGTCAGGTGATTGAGGTCCAGAAACAGATCTTTTCAGTAGCTGGCCTGGTTACTATGGAATAACTTACCCCAAGGTCAAGAAGGCTTCTTTGCTAACTTTCAGGAAAGAGATTAAGATGATCCTCTTTTACCAGACTTTTGGAGCATAGGATGTGGTTATGGCAGCTGCTGTGTATTTGATCTGGTTGTGTTGTAAAATGTACATTGATGTTTTTGTGATTTTTATTTAGCTTTTCCTTTTTATGATTTTTTAAAATTTCCCCTTTTTATTATATTGTTATGAATCTTAATACATTGTGGTGTTTACATGATATGATTAGAGATTATTAACATTCTATTATTTAGATAACTTAAAGTATTGAAAATAAAGAAATGAAAGAAAAAATTATATCAATTTTAATTACAATTTAGGATGTCAATATTACAAGCATAAAATTATTTGGCCTTTTTCATCCAAAGTTAAATATAACATTAAAAACAGAACCGCTGCAACTCACATCAAAGTATTGGTTATATGATAATGGTTTCGATCTTAAGCTAATTACTTAATATTAAAATCTCCATTATATTGTTACTTTATAAAGATAAAAAGGGAAAAAAGATAGAGAAAGCAAATTTAACAAAAGTTAAAATACCTAAAAAGAAAAAAAAGGAAAAGGAAAATAATAAGAATAAGAACTATTGTTTTCTGACTCCCCCTTTTTTTATACATTTACTAATTTGTGATATTTGAGGACATTCAGGTGCCCTTAAAAGCCAGATTGTAAGTGGTTATATTTACCATGCTGCATGATATATTGTATGTATGGGAACCCTTCTTGCTTGAATTTAGTTAAACTTCTATTGTGTAAGTGTCCTGTTAGTTTTGCCATTGCTCTGTATTCTCCAAGTTTAAGTTTCCAATCAGATATTGCCAGGTTTGTATTTTTCTTCCAGTGTTGAACAAACTTTATTCTCGCTGGGTAAGCATATATCCCATTAAATTATGATATTTCTTCTTGATCTTTTCTGAGATTATACCTAGTAGGAAAAGTTGTGGTTTCCGTTTTTATGATTGCGAGTCACCCACGGTCTATGATGAGGGTATCAAATAAATCTTCTGTAATAATAAACAGAGATTATTACAAATAATAAACAAACCCTACAGACCAGAAAACATTCATTTACATTATGGAACTAAGCTCTGTAAGTTATTTTTTAAGCCCAAACAGGCAGAAATTAACAAATTTAGAATGCTATAATGGAGTGGTAATAATGTACAGAAAAATAACCCATTCCTCATTAATTTCTGCATGAATAATTTACTAGTTTAATGCAGTGAGTTCAAAAATACAGTCACTGTGACAGCTACTGAGGCGAGCATGCAAAGGTGCACTTCCATTTTACACTGCTTGAAACTTTGTTGCCTTCTGATTCCCTCCGAAAAAGAGAACAAATGTAATGTGCCTATAGACTGAATATCACATTATTGTCTTTTTCTATTTCACGGAGGCTGAGATGCAGTTAAGACATGTACCCACTGCTCAACCGCAGAAGCCTTTGCCCCAGTCATTATCGAATACTAAAATCTTAGGTTGCTCCTAATTAAGGGGGTTGGGTTGCCATTGTGATGGGCTGCTCAAAACAGCTACTTGTACTATTCCAGCATGTGCTGTGTTGAACTGATGCAGTAAGATATCCTTCCTTTGGGCAATTATTAGCAATGTATGGGTGTGTGCATGCCTTTGAGTCAGTTTTAGTCCCTGGCAGTTTTCTTGGCAGAACATGGTTTGCCCTGGCCTGCTTCCTAGGGCTGAGAGAGAGAGGGACTGGCCCAAGGTCACCAGTTGGCTCTGTGCCTAAGGCAGGACTAGAACTCACCGTCTCCCGATTTGTAGCCTGGTGCCTTCACCACTGCACCAGGCTGGCTCTCTTAGCAGTTATAGCCACAAGGAAATGGAAATGGAATGTATTTTACAGCTTTATGGTGGTAACATTATGAAGTCACATGCTCTCTGCTATCCTGCGTATCAGACATTGTACCCTGATCTGATTTATGAACAGATTTGTAATGCCTTTAGTATTTAACAGGAAGACAAACTGCTTTAGGCAGAGGCACACAAGTGAGCTTTAATTGGGCAGTCATCGTCTCTCTTTACAAGAGCAAGGGAAGGGTTTAGAAGGCATCATTTGCTGTTTGCATCCTTTCTGGGTTTTCCCATTGTTTACCCCATCTTTCCTTTCCATTGCGGAAGCGAAGCTGCACAGTACCTTTAACTGGGAGCTCTGGGAGCCTCTCCAGCTAGAAGCTCTTCCAGTCCCAGGAACGGTAGCAGGGACAATGGGAAGTGTTCATAGAAGCACGTCTAGCATTGTAATTAAGGAATTAATTGTAGGATTCCCTCACACCCTGGTTTGACCAGGCTTGACCTGATCTTGGGCTCTACTCTGGCTGTTCCACACTGCTAAACAAGAAAGTGCCAGAGAATTGAGCAGTCCAGAGTTGTGACAGTGGCTTAATTTGCACTCCCCTGTACAGAGCCACAAAAGGGCAGCATGGATTTAGCTATTGCTTTTGCGAGCCTCTCTTCATCGGCAAAGGGGACAGGCTTCTGTGGCTAAAACCATGCTGTTCCCTACTTGGGAGAATGTAGGTTTAGCCATTTAAGCTTTGAAAGACTGCAAAAGCCCTAGCTTTGCCTCTGTGAGTCTGCTGATCATGACCCAGTTTAACTGGTTGCAAATATGTTAAACCTCATTAATCATTACACACATACACACTAACATAACATAACATAACATAACATAACATAACATAACATAACATAACATAACATAACATAACATAACATAACATAACAAGTGTTGGAGGTAGCCCAGATCTAACCCTGTTATACTGCTTCAAATCAGAGGTGATCATTTGACCTGTAGGCTGGATTATAATAGGAATTTGTTCTCGCAACAGCTCATATGACACTGAATGTTGCAACAGTCAATATCATAGCTTGTTTTTTTTTTAAATGAATTTAAATATCTAAGAAAAGCTTTATGGGCCATGAATCCAAAAATATATGGGAAATGCAGTAAGGAACCAAGTAATAACAGTTCTTAGAAGTGCCTAAAGCTCAACAAGGTCCTTTCTTGGGGATGTCTGGCAACCTGCAAAAATAGACTCTTTAGCATCTCATAAGACAGGTGCCTTTTTTCCCTCTTTCCTTAGAGCGTTATATACAATTCTATATATCATGGCAGCATGATATGTTTCTCATATTGCCCGGTTTATTTATTTATTTTATTATTGTCAATAGTTTTCCCTTAAATCTGATTTATGATTTATTTATATATAATTATGAAAGCGAGGGTTTCAGTATTCTGCAGTATTCAGATAAACTGCATTTTAGATGAGGAAAGGAATTAAACCAACTTACCCTGAGAGCCAGGTTGGTGTGGTGGTGAAGGGGCTGGCCTGGAATCCAGCAGCCTGAGAGTTCTGGCCCCGCCTGAGGCACGAAAGCCGGCCGGGTGGCTTTGGGCCAGTCTCTCTCTCGGCCCAACCCACCTCACATGGTTGTTGTTGTGGGGAAAACAGGAGGAGGAAGGAGTATTA